AATTCTTTTGAAAGGACCATTTTTGCCCTTTGAAGCACGCCATCTCTTGTTCCTGCTTGGAGCAAATTTGGTTTGGCAGTTGTTTTGATTAGAAACAAAACAAGTTGGTACTACACGGTATTTTCTTCCCCAGGACAGTGATGGTCAAGGACTAACTGACCAGGAAATCTACGATGAAGTGGACACATTCATGTTTGAAGGGCATGACACGACAGCATCAGGCCTGTCCTGGTTCCTGTACGACATGGCCCGGCTGCCAGAATTCCAGCAGAAGTGCCAAGAGGAAATCGATGACCTCTTAGTAGACAGAGAAGATGACCGGCTGGAATGGTGAGTAAAGCTTGGCTGAGTTCGACAAGAATATGTTGATTTGTACAACACCCAAATAAATGCCAGTCATCTGAATGGAGGGTTTGTCAGTCAAGTGCCATTGACCAGGCCTTCTGCCCACAAGGCTACTGAATTGCAGATTTTACCAACCTGTTTAGATTTTCACTTGACTGTACTGATGTGTATCCTACAGAATATCACCTTTTCCTTTTCGCTATATTCCAATCATTAAATTTGTTATTCCCAGTGCTGTACCTCTTAATTTTCATGTATACCAATGATCTCATGCTCTTTTCCCTTGATTGGTATACTGCTGTTTGGTAGAATTTGCTGTATTCTGTTAGGTCAGTGGGTCTTTTTGCTCTTTTGGTCCCAGTTGTAGCACGGTCATTTAAGTCACTGCACTGACAGCTCAGTTATTTCTCCTGCGTTCTCGGCAAACGTTTCCTGTTTTGAAAGTCCAAGTGCAGAAAGTAGTTACATTTGACCTTTTTTGTTCGATCACCGGCTCAGTATAACCCTCAAGAAAACTTTCAGTACAAACATGGCTTATGCCGTTGTACTTTGCACGTGTGATGGCCTCTTTGGGCAATGATATGCTTTACCACATGTGTGCACAGGGAAAGCTCAGTAGTAGCTCTTCATTCAGACAAAATGTCAGTCCTGGCTTGGAGAGTGAAAACTTTCTGGCGCTCTTTTACACCAAGCCTAGAAAATAAAATGGCAACTTTTATGCAAACAGGATTCACTCAAACACTTCATGAAACAAATCATGAATGTTTCCCCTATGCAGCAGAAAGAATGTGAATTAGTGATAAGCTGAATGTTCTTCTCAATCTCACCTCATGAAATTATTTAATCCCATTGTGCAATTGCTATGAGATTGTTTTGATTTCTGAAATATGACTAGGAGACAAAGTTAACAACTTAAGGCTGCCATAGTGGAACAGCTCAGAGCTGTATTCTTTATCCAGTTGACTCTCTCAACTTCTCCAGTCATCTCTGATGTCTAAACTGAGCATGGGCATATTCACACAGTCCTCATCAGTTACAATAAATAATGATCACTGTGCTCATGTGCGGTTAATCTGTATGCATGTACAACAGCAGTTATTATTTCAATGATATACAAGGGGGATCTTCAAGACAACATCTTTTTGTAGATGGTTACAGTTAAGGCTTTGCCTCAGAACTGGAAACCTGAGCAGTTGACTGTTAGTATTAGGAACTAGTTCGGAATTACAGGATTGGTGCCTAAACTACAATTTACAGTGAAACAAGGAATTTTTTCCATTCTATTACATTTTCAGTGCCCCATGTCAACATCACTGAAACAAAATTGCATAATACCGGCCAATTAAATGGAATTTTTGTAATTGCCGGGAAAAGAAGAAATGGTTAATTTTTCGGAAAATCAGAAGTGCTTGACCTTTTGTTTTCTAGGGATGATCTCAGTAATATGCCCTACCTGACCAAGTGTCTGAAGGAGAGCCTGCGTGTACATTCTCCCGTCCCCAATATCATGCGAACATTGACCCGACCTTTGACCTTTCCTGATGGCAGGACGTTGCAGAAAGGTGAGTGTTAGGAGGTGCTAGCTGAATTACCCCCAGTTTGTCCCATTCCTGCAGGCTTGCCCATGTTGTACTTGGAAATGTCTGCAATGTTGTCCTCATCTTGCCGTCAAATTAAATCGACAGATGCATAAAAATGAAGCACTGCATTTACTCTTTCATGTGCAATGGACAAACAAAATATGCAAATATATGAATATGTTCATATTGCAGCTATGTGCCTATGTAGAGAATGTGACAGCTGGGTAGTAAATTTACCTGGCTGGAAATTTGAGTAGCCTGGGAGAATAATAGAAAACTTTTTGACTAGGAATAAACACTTTGTGTCGTGGGATTGGTAGAAATGTCTCGTATTTGAACTCTCTTGTAATTTGCTTGCCTTGTCAAATTCCAATTTGTATTCTTGTTGTCAATTAAGGGTCATT